CCCCAAGCGAACCACTCAACTGCCCCTGTTCCTCATCCTAACCAACAAATTTGACTTAAAAGCATTTCCCTGCACACTGTCTACTCTGGTTTTAGTACAAGAAGGGCCTCTGCTGAAGAGCCCAGCGTCCCCGTTACTCAGTCGTTATTTATTTATTTAGACAGCTGAGCCAGCTCGATGCACTGGGAGCAGAGAGACTGAGCGTCCTCAATCTGCCACGCCACGAATGGAGGGGACACTTAGTACTATGTGATGGAAAACTGTAGTTCTTTCATGGAAGCAAAAGAGCGGAGTGAAGGACAATTTTCTTTCCGTAAAGATGCTGACTCAGGAGCAGTCTTCTGCACCCAGGGGTGCTGGGTTCCCGCACATGGGAAACCAATCCACTGTCCCTCTTTCTAGCGCAGAACAAACGGTGATAAAGGAGTTATTTTCTCTTTTACGATAGAAAATTCTCAGCGGCTCACCAGAGATAGCTTTTCTGTTTAAAAAAAAAAGGGTGCCTGTGGGGAGTGGGTATTCTACTTTTTACATTGAGCCAGCATTTGCATAAAATATTGATGAGCGTGCTCCCCTAACTTGTTTCAGAAATAGGCTGCTTCTGGTGTCAAGTGCTGGTGTTAATCAGCCAAATGGTAGATCAAATTAGCTAAGTTCTCTTGTTAAGTATCGTGTCCTTCACTTTCCTCCGAAAGTTTGGGCTGCTTATAAATCTGTGCTGCAGAAATAATGCCTGTATACTCCAGCGCTCTAATCCTTGCAGGCCGCCATGCTGCTCACGACTGGCCCCACCGGACAGATGGAGACCCGTGTTGTAAATTGGCCAAGCCAGACAGAGAGAAGACAGAAATCAGGGATTTAGACTTCACATCCAAGGTCTCTCTACTAGACTGTGCATGTCATATACTTATAAGAATGCCATCACAGCAGTATATCAAATGATTCCTGATAAGCAGGGCTGGCATTTTTATTATACTGTTATTTACAAACGGGGACATAGAGGGATGGAGATTGGAAAACGAATTGACTAAGGTCATGCTTCCTATCAGTAGAAGTTTGTGGATGGAAATTGGGGTCACTAGCTTCTAGGCCACTATGAATTCCACCATAACTAAGTTATTCCCCTCCTTTTTGTCTACTCCCCACGCTGTGCTTTTGGGGAATGGAGAACCCAATGATAGCACACTCACTGCCATTGGGTTGATTCCAACTCTTCGTGACTCTCTAGGGTAGAGCAGACGTCCCTTGTGGGCTTCTGAGACTATAACTCTTCATGAGAATCGAAAGCCTCATCTTTCTCACAGGAAGAGGCAGGTGGTTTTGAACTGCTGACCTTATGGTTAGCAGCCCAATGTGTAACTCACTACACTGCCAGGGCCCTTTTGGTAACACAGAAATACTGCTGAACATAATTACAGGAGAAAGGAGTGAGTATCATTACTAAACTGACAGCAAAGAGAAAGCAAACAATATGACCATGGTCCCCTACATCTCTGGTTCTTCATTTAGCTACACTGCCTCTTCTTCCCACAGTCTCTCACCTAAGGGAACCCCTCTGTGATGGACCCAGCAGAATCAGATGATCAGGAAGGACTGGAAGTGCTCGTGGCTTGAACTGGCTAAGATGTCACAGAGGGTACTGAGGTGGAAATCTCCATGTCCTGCTCTTGTCAGGCTGCCTGGGAGACCGAGGTTGGGTAGTCCCTACGATTGATGGGAGGTTCTGCTTGATGTCAATCCTGGCACAGGTGGTAAGCTATGGATTAGCCTGAGGCACTGGACCAGCTGTTTAGGGACCCAGCTCAATCTCTCTCCTTCCTCAGTTTGTAGAGAATCACATCTTTTCTGGGAGTGGTAAGTTAGGAGGAACGCAGAATGGTCACTGCACGCTTAGGCAGGGATGGCATGCCTCGCTCCCCTCTCTCCTGGTTTTTAACCACCTCCAAAAGAAAATACAGAAATCACAAACTTGGAGGTTTTCCACCCCCTTCTAGTTTCGTCTAGACTCTCTCGAGTTGGGGGTTCTGGAGGTGGAGAACTTTTGTTCTCCCTGCCTTCCATTCTGGCGGCTGCCACCATGAAGCCTTAGCTCCACGTGTCCCAAGGACAAACGTGCTTCCTTGCATGGCAATGCACTGTGGTGAAGCTAGAGAACTGGATGCGAACGACTGCCTGGGTAGGTGCGGCCCCTCCGGCGCCTTTACCACGTGATCTGGGTAGCACTGCTATCCAGGAGCCTGATGCAGAGAATGAAGGGACGTGTCTAATGAGCCCCATAGAAACAGCGCTGATAGGGAGACTGATAATAGTGCACAGCTAAAGATTTCTTTCAGAACCGAACAGTATGTCACACGTAACATTCTTTCCATTCTACCTCTCGGGGTTGACTCAGGCAGCTGTAGTCAGACAATTGTTATGAGGGGTTTAAAGAAGGACATGTGTGGCTTTGTCACAGGAGGAGGGCCAACATGGAAAGAGAATGGTTAGTTCCAACTATCGTCTATAGCTGCTTGCCAAACGACTGGCTTTCATCAACACCCTGTGGCACCGCCTCTGCTGCCATCACAGTGAAGAAGAGCCTACAAGCTTCTTTGGGACCAAGTCATTTAAGACCGCTGTCACGGAAAGGAATCCCTGGGCTCAGGACTCCAGCGGCTTTGCTCCTCAGTCTAAAACTCTCAGACTGCATGACAGGCCCCCGTTACTCTAAGTCCATATCTGCTCTGTGCTCCCTGTGAGCACGAAATGTTCTTCTTCTTCTAGAGTGCTCCTCTCATCCACAGGACCATACCCTACCGTTTCTTGAAGCCCCAGGCGGACAACCACAAGACTAAGAAGAAGACAACAAAGAGCCTTTCTCTCTCTCTTCTGTGGGCCCCCTCCCGCCTGTATCTTCTTCACGTTGAGACTGGGCAGGGAGGCGCAACTAGAGGGCAGCCTGTTAGCTTCCCAGCGGCAGTGTTGACCTGAGCTACCACGCTGGCACTGAGACCTTCTCAACTGGAGACATCAAAGCCGGTCCTTTGGGACCCAGTGAAAAGTTCAGGTTGGCTAACTTTCCCAATGGGACGTAGTAGAGGGTAACCTTGTGCGTGCGGTGTGCGGGGCTACAGCTACCTCAACTGTGAGACAGAGTCCAATTAGCACTTAAAGCAGGAGACAGTGCAGACGGCACACTCACCTCGACTCAGCCCGTCAGGTCCCCGGAGAATCCGGCATTCTTCTATCTGGCCAAATGGAGAAAACATCACCCTGATATCATTCTCATTACATTTCTTCGAAACCATTCCTATGAACAATTTTCTGTCTTCCACAGCTAGGAGATAAAAATAAGGAATGAGCAAAGGCTAGCCCATCTTTTGTCTTGCAATCAATGCTTTATTACCACATCCCGCTGAGTCTCAGCCATGTGAGATGACACACGGGTCCCAGGGCTAACCCTTCAGATGGGCACTTGGCCTTCCTTCCTCCACACCCCCCATCTTGCCTCTTCCCGTCACCCCGCCCTACCTGAACATTTCACCTTTCTGGCAGCTTGTGATTACGCAATAAACCATCCTCTGAGGACATGGCGCACGGGGGCTATGCTTCCTCTCCCCCCACCCCTGGAAGCAAACAGTATCTGGGAATCTTGTGTAACTGCTCAGCACCGCCATTCTGCTATGAGATGCGGAGCTATTTTGGGATTCAGATTTTAATTTGGCGTTTTGTAGATGTTCTTTTAACTTGAATGACAGGGACAGGGAAAAGGGCCAAGAGAGGAAAAACAAGCAGGCACATGTAGTGAAATTGGTAAACAAAGCTTTCCACCAAAGCACCAAAGGGAAGAAAAAATACTGCTTTCACCTCCTTCAGCCCCACGGCATGCTAGACAGCAAAAGGGGCTCAGAGAGTCTTGGTGTCCTAGAGACTCGGTCAATTACCTCCCTTCCTAGCCCTATGACGCTGAGTGCGACATTTTTGTAACATTTAATGAAAATGTATATATTAATATATATATTGATAACTATCAAAGTAAAGAATAAAAAGAAAATTTTCCCGAAATTAAAAATTCAGGCATTATAGGGCTAGGATTGGCGACACAGTGGTAAGCAGGCTCTCAGCCACGCGGCTCTGTGCAGGAGGACAAAGCAGCAGCCAACCACAGGCACGAGAATGGGGGAGGTAGGCATCACGCTCAGAACGGAGCCCCGAACAACGTGGACAAGGGCCGAGGAGGGAGCAACCTTTCTGCATCCCTGGGAGGTGGACTTCTTGATGAGCAGTGTGCATTTGAGGTGTCAACTGGCCTGGCCGAGACAGGCCCATGTTGGTGGGACAAGAGAATGCTTCCCTGGCCTGTATGTGGCTTCACAGCCTAGCCTGCAGGCTGGTTTCAGGCCACGGATGAGGAGTCTTTGTTAGGAGAAAGGAAACAGATTTCTGTGGAAGACCAAGGGGGGCTGGTGCCCAGCTGACTACCCAGTGCTTCTTCCCATTCCTTAAAGAATAAAACCGGAGGTAACTGGTGGCCCCGGTACCACAGAGAGCTGGCTCCAGCTGCCATCGGTCACTCATATAGGAACCTTTGTTTTCTATCTGTTTCTAACACTTGTAATTGGGGTTCTGATGGATTTGGGTTCTGTTTCTCCTATTCTTCCCCTGGACAGGACCTGCCTCACTTTCATTTACCCAACAAGAGTTGAGTCTGGACGTGCTAGGGCCAGGTGACCCTGGGGAGAGACCCAGGTTACAATGTGCAGTCTTTGTCCTACTGGAGCTGGGTCTAGGAGATCTCTGCAGGAAGCAGTTAAACAACACCAGGAGGTCTCCTCGGAAGCCGTGCTGTGCGATCGGAACGCTGATGTAGCCCAAGGTTCGTGTTTGTGCTGGACAATTTGGTAGCTACTAAACAGGGGGCCTACTGAGAACTTGAACTGTAGCTCGTGCCGCCTGAGGAACCGAGTGTGTAATGTGACTTTATTCATTTAGATTTAAAACGTGCCATTTGCTGTTGAGGGGATGCCGACTCCGGGGGCGACCTCATTCATGTGGGAAGGATAAGGCTGCTCCGCTGGCTGTTCTGGCGCTCACTTCTCGGACGTAGATGGCCAGGCTCATCTTCTGGGCGGGTTGGGAACCCCAGGCTTTTGGCTAGCAGGGCAGCACTGAGCTGCTTGCATGACACAGCCGCCCCTCGTTTAGATGGTCAAATGCAATGACTGGCGACTAGACTGGAGGATGGCGCCTCGGTGGGGTAGTGGGTTACTCACTGTGCTGCTAACAGCAAGGTCAGCTGTTCAAAACCAACAGGGGTTCCTTGGGAGAAATAGGAGGCTTTCTACTCTCAGAAACCCTATCTTGTGGAGTTGCTATGCGTTGGAATCACATCGACGGTAGTGATTGATTCTGGATGCTGCTGCTCTGAAGGATGGACATGACACAGTGCTGTGTTCCTTGTCATTGAGTTCCAGACCGGAAGGAAGAGTCTCGAGAGGTGCATTCTCTAATTTAAGATAACCCCCGAGGCTGGCAATGGAGGGACTTGTCTTTGCTTGGATGTGACCACAACTCCTGCGCATCCTACGTCCAGCGCCATGCTCTGTACACTTCCCTGTTTTCTCTGGGCTCCGAGGTGGCAGGGGCAAGGTCTAGCCCTAGCTATGCCATTCATTTGATCCGGGACCTTGAAGACCTAGCCTTCGAGCCTCACTCTGTAAAATGAAGGCCTGGATTTGGTTCGTTGTCCTTTTTGCTCTTTCTCTTGCACAAAGGGGATGAGGCGGGGCAGCAGCAGAAGCCCACTGCATGCCTTAGCTGACGAGGGCACCTGAGGAGCACTGGGGGATGCTGGGAAGTGATGCTCCATCTCCCTTTTCTGTAGCCCTTTCCCTCCACATTAGTGAAAGCTCTGAGACACTGGGGATTTCAGGCACCCAGGGGGAAGCCACAAGCCCCCAGTGCTTGTAAAGCGTGAATGATTTATCGAAGTGTTTGAGGACAGCTGGCTGGAAGATGTGGAATTCAAGTCCGGGTTTAAGAAACCCAGGTAGGGTCATGCCTAGGTTGGTAGAGAGCTAGGCCAATGACAACGTGCTCACCAGGGAAGGGCTGAGCCACCTGTAAGGCCCCTGGCGTGGGGCCAGATGGAGGGGTACAGACTGAGTGTGCAGAGAAGGGGCTCTTGACACAGGAAATTAAGAGAAGGCTAAAGATCAATGTTGAAACTCATGGAATGTGACATGGGCCATGGGCGCTGTGGGCTCTGATTCTGGGGAGGAAGTTTTCTACTTCGATAAAAACTCTTCAAGTTCCTTTTTTCTTCTTTCAAAGCAGGTGGACTACCAACCACCTACTGTGAACTTGCTGAGGTTAGGGTGGGTGCAACAAGTAGCCAAGCTTTCGGAACATCAGAACAAGGAGCTTCCTTTGTGATGGGAATCTTTGTGATCTCCAAAATGAGGGCAGCGTTGGGCTCTTTCTGACACCTGAATGGCTTCACCCGTGAGGATTCCGGCCAAGTGTTGTGCAGATGCGACCTTCCCTTGAAGGGAGAGGACAGAACAGACTCACGGGACAAAGAGAAGGGGGACAACTCCCAGGATGCAGCCTCACCCTTCCTCCTCCTCTTCGCTGGGATCCCAACCCAGGAAAGCTCTGACTAATATCTTTATAAGCGGAAAAACCCCAAAATGTTCATTTCAATCACATCTTGAAGGATCTGGCCCTAGTTCTGTTAAACAAAAGCAACTGATAAATTCCCAGCCGATCCTTGGACTCACTGGTAAACCTATAATTGTGACACTTGACAAAAATAATTTGCAGGTCACGAGAGTGGGAGTCGGATGAGGGAGGGAAAAAAGAGGAGCTAATACCAAAGGCTCAAATAGAAAAAGTAAATGTTTATAAAATGATGATGGCAAAGTATGTACATATGTACAAATATGATTGATACAATTGATGTATAGAAGGTTATAAGAGTTGTAAGAGCCTTCTTACAACTTAATTGGAATAAACGGATTGAAAATAAGAACAATTTGTAGATTTGAAGCTTCAAGGTGACGTTATAGTAAATTAAACATGCAGTTTCCCTGTCAGTGAACCCCCATCCCCTCCTTTCAAAGTATATTAAGAAAATGGAAACTTAACTTCCTAAGTCATCCAGGAATTGGGATGGTGACCCTCACCGATTTTTTTTCTTCAAAACAAGGATGGGCTAAGTAATGAATGGGAACGGATGCAACGCATAAGCTAATGAAGCGTGTAGTGGCTCCCGGGGAAGTGCATTTGAAACAGGTCATCCTCAACCCATCTTGCATGGCATTAAGGCTCCCTTGCCCCACCCCACTGCCATCAGGTCAAGTCTGACTCAGAGCGACCCTGTATTAGGTTCCAAGGCTATGAATCTGAATAGGAGCAGAACGCCTCATCTTTTCCCTGAGGAGCAGCTGGTGGGTTTGAACTGCTGACCTTGTAGTTAGCAGTCCAATGCTTAAGCCATAGCAGTGTGTGTGTGTGTGTGTGTGTGATCCTGGGTAAGAGGTGCTAGACATTAGTCATCTCTTATCAGTCAAAGCCGTTCCAGCGCTTGGCTAGCAGAGCTTGGTTTGGTGTCATGGGGGGAAATAAGGGCGATTAAACTTACCCACCTCTACTTTCCCTTTGAGCTTTCCTGATTCCCAGGGCGCATTTATCCATCACATTCATTCCTGAGATTACCACTCCTCGGAGACCTACTAGCTTTGTAGGTATTTTAAATAAACCTTGTTCCCATTAGCTTACATTAACTTTATTATTTTAAAATTAATTTTGGATAAACTTTGTGTGGCGTTCTCTGAAGATTTAAATTTTTAAAGTCTATATATTTTTAATTCACCACCGAGTTGAATATAGATACTATATTCAACACATTCTATGAGGTGTTTACCCAACAAGCCCAACCCATAAGAGCCTTCCAGCCCATTCCCACTCGCAGGGAGGCTGCAGGGTGGAGGAGAATTGCCCCATTGGCTTCTGAGGCTGTCAATCTGTCTGGGAGCAGAGAGCCTTCTCGCTCTCTTCTGGAGTGGCTCCTGGGTTCAAACTGCTGACCTTTAGCAAGCTAACCTGACACCCATCAGACCATCAGGACTCCAAAGGTGCTTGCTAGATGCTTAGGGGAATTTCAAAATTAAAAAAGTAAAATACATGAGAGGAGAAGGATTCCTCCCCTCCAAGTAAAAGTAGCTCCTTTCCCCCCAGGATTACCAGTGGATATGGGAAAACACTCTCAAACCCAAAGTGCTACACAAATGAGATCCCCTGCCACCGCCGCCATCAGCCTGCAAGGTGTCCCAG